GAAAACTACATCGTAGTTATATCGAATGATCTAAACAGATATCGAAAATAGTTAAATATGCGTCAAACGTACGTATTAAAAGAGGCGTTTAACTCGTCTTTAAAAAAATCAATTATTTCATTAACCTTTATTATTTTTTCACGATAAATTTTTCAATATAATTTACATTATTTTTTTAGGAAATTTTACATTAAATATGATGTCAAAAATTCTAAAATCGTTACGGATTAAATGTAATTTGAATTACTTTCAAATTTTTTTTTGTTAAACTTAAATTTCATTTACTTCTTATATCCAATTTGATTTACTCGTCGTTAGCTCAACATCCATAATTGACATGATAAACAAAACTATACATGTAGCAAAATTCATTTAACAATATTGGTAATGACAGAATTATAAGACACTTTCAAGATGTCAAAATACGTATTAATTTATTTTTATAAATATTATATTTTTTAAAAAAATTACACATTAATTTTTGGAGTTAAGCACAAACCGCAAGGATGAACTCGTAAGTGACCGTGCCCTTACATGCCCAGCGGGATCCCCATAAATAAAATAATCTCGACCTCATGTGTGTGTGTTATATCAATCCCGCGATCATTCATGTGGGTACTGTAGCATGACTCTAATTTTTGACCCCACAACTCAAAACGATTGGATCCGCCCCTGTTAAAATACATTTTTCATAAAAATGGGGCTCAAAAACCCTCTTAAAATAAAAGCAAAAGTGATTTCGAAAAATCAGGAGCTTTCCGCGATCGCATAAATTGACTAATACCTTGACTAAGCATTGACTTTGAAAGTGCCTATTTTAAGTTTCTTCGAAATGCAGAATAAGGTTCTTTTAGTGTTTACCAAGAATATGAGCAAAGCATATGCCTCAAGGAATTCACTCCGTTCCTTTGTCGCAGTGACTTTTGCTTTTTTATGTGTAGCTTAATACATTTTGTTTTGTTAAAAGAAGTTATTTACCTATTCGAGTAAAATTGTTTTGTGGGTACCTTTTTCTTTTTATAATTTCTCGACCATTGGTTCGAGCAGGTAAAATTGAATGCACCTTCCTTTCTTTAAAAAAAAAAAAAAAAAAAAAAAAAGTGAAAAGAATAAATAATAAAATTAAATTGTAAAAAAAAAAAAATGATAATCCATGGTGACTGAGTGTCCCAAGTAAGATAAGGGGATTATATACAAGTGGGACCCAATAAATTCCTTGTCGTGGCTGCTCTTACTTCCTCTTGTTTTGGTAGGGAGCGCTAACTTACCAAACCATAGATTTATGGGTCATACTTTTCGTTTGGTCTCCATTAATTTCTATTTCATTACATTTCATTTTTCTATATCTTATTTTCAATCACATAAACTTCCATAAAATAATATTATACGTAAATTGAATTTTTTTCATTCTTTTTCAACTATTCAATTTTCAAAATAACACTATTCCACACATTTTCATTTTCAAAAAATAGGGGCCAAACATGTATATTTTATGTGTGTTTAGTTCAAGAATTGAATTTCCAAAGATTTGCAATATAGTTGATTTCGATCTTTTGATCAACGTAGAAAATTTTGATCTGTTGTGACGCTCAATTGATTGTGATACGAAATTACAAATTTTAAGTGTCATATGATCTCAACGTTTCAAAAACTTTTGCCTCTTAAAATTAACTTATTAATTTATACGATTTTATAATAATATTGTCGACACAATCGAGTATTGGGTTGACCATCATCTCTTGTTAGTTAAGGTACATTATTCAATGGGTTAATGCTAAAAATCAAGCCTACAATTTACTACAATTTTTTCAATCTTCTACGATCGCTAATTATTATAGTCTTATCTTAAATAAGATAAGTAGACAGGTTAACCAGATTTAGCCTACTTTTTAATGTTGGAAATATTATTATTATTTTGGTAGGTGTTGAGGATCACATCGTGGTCTCCAAAAGATATTGTGGGGCCCCATTAATTCCTAGTCGTCAATCATTGTTGATCAATCTCCTTTTATATTTTTACTCACATAATTCAATGTCACCAATATTGGCCGTTGATCGACAAAATTTGGTATATTGTGGGGTTTATCTGCTGCCACATCATGCTCGGGTCACATGGGCCTTTCATATTGTGAGTGATTCTCTCTTACGTTATTCACAATGTTTTCATTCGGTTGGATAGAAATAGATTTGATAAATAATAATAATTATGGAATCGACCGTGCTTGATGGCCAAGGCCACATCCAGGTGCTCCACGTAC